AACAACCTTCAACTTAAGTTTTAAATAATTACGTTTTTTATTATTTTTCTTAGCTTTAAAAAAGTACTTTTTTAAAAAAAATTGTGTTAGTTAATCGTTAGAAACTTCATGGTATTATCCTATTTGGTGGTATTCTTTTGTCATTTGTATATTTTAATTGGATTGATTTATCATTCTCCCTAAATGCATAGGTCTATAAATATAAGTCCCATGTTTACAACTTTTAGAGTGGCTTTAGCCTTCAATATTATATACGACACATTATAATAACATAATAACATACAACAACAAAAAAAAGTTAACATAATCACATATTAATAATAATATATTAATATTCATTTCTCCTAGGAAAATTAATCGACTTTCTCAAAGAAAATAGACAAGTTTAACAGTCCAAGAAGGAAACAAGCGGCACACACGTGCATACTAATATTTAAAAAAAAAAAAAAGAACTTTTTGCACCATACTTTTTACAGTGCAGTTTAAAGACAACTGGGTATAAAAAGTTTGACCCGTGGTAATTTTGTAAATAAGTTATATGATTAGTCTGACTCTCCGCGCAATTTTAGCCGGTTATAATGATGATATGTTTTTTAGCTGCCACATCAAATAGAACATGAAGAAGAAGAAGCATTTGTTTTAGTCTTCCTTGCATAGCTATCCAATAATTATTATATTTATATTTATTATTTTTTAATTAAAAATTAATATATAATTTAAACTTTAAATTATAAATTTAAAATCAATTTGAATCATAAATTTTTAAAAGATACATTTTAAACTCTAAAAAGTTAATGTTAGAATAATTTTGTCCTTACTATTGTTAGATGAGGCCTAATATGTAATTTTTATAAAATAATGGTAGAAGAGTAAAATTTGATAAAAATTATATATTAGGTTTCAATTTTAAAAAACTAACAAATAATTGTTGATTTAACCAGGGGAAAAATTATCTTAATTTTAATTATTTAAAATTTAAAGTATATTTTTTAAAAGTTTAAGATTTAAATTACTCATAAATTTATAATTTAAAATTCAAATTGTATAATAACTCTTTATTAAATATTAGGAATGTTATTGAATGTTAGAGCAATTTATTTGTAAAGTATGTATATTTAATAATAATAAAATTAAATAAAAATTTTTAAATGGAATTAATAAAATTTAATGTTTTTCTTAATTAATGAAAACGGTGAAATTAATTTATAAATATGACGTAAAGAAATAGTAAAAGATAACATCGTGACACTCAAACCAAGCAATGAACAAATTGCATGGTTAACCAGGGGATTCAAAAACCTGTTGCCTCAAAAGCATCCAATTTTCTCTTCAGAGTCTCGAATGGATTGATTGGCTTTGCCCTTGCGGTGGAATATTATAACTCATCCTTCAAACGCCGACCCGATAAGATAAGTAATAAACTAAATAAAAAAAGTAATAATATTCTTCAAAGTAATAATTTTTATCCAAAAATAATAATAAACTAAATAACCCTCCAAAAGAGATATCATATTTTTTTTTTTAATTTTATTGTATTCTACCCAACCCACCAGCAGTAATACCAGTCTCTGCTTTTGCAAGCCAAAACCACTCTTCAAACAAACAGTCCACAGAAAGGCGAAAGCATCTCGATCGGTGTGTTCACGTTGTGTTACTAATATTAATAGATATAAAAAAAATAAAATTTATACTAAGCTGTACTCACTATTTATAATTTATAAATAATTTAGTTTATTTTATATTTTATTTAATATACAGAATAATTTAGAAATTAGAAAAATGGTTATAAGTTTAAAAATATGAAAATAATCGTTTTCTATTTCATTAGTTAATTTTAATCTTTTTAAATATAATAACTTTAAGTACTAATGATTTACCAAGCATGAAGCCATGTGCACTGCAAAGTGATAGTTTTAAAACTTTATATATAAACGGTCACACTTTTTATTGATTCTAAGTAAATATTTTGATTTATTTATTCCTGACATTGCGCAACACATTAATTGGACTTATATTTGGTTGTATAAATAATGAGAGAAGCATGCTGGATAATATTCACATGCTTAATTATATATATATATATATGAAGGTTTTTCAAATTTAACGTCTTCTCCCACAATTGATTTATCTTAAAAATAAGACAAAGTAAAAAAAAAAAAAAATCCTTTGACCCCTGCTTTTTATCAGATTTTGCAAGTAGTCCTTATGGCTCTGATTATTTTCCCCCCTTAAATGGCTCCATGGTATTTGCACCATTTGGCCCTACTATTCCATTATATAACGGAAACCCTCACAAGTGATGCCAGGTGGCTGATACGTGGAAGCTGATGAGGACAGCTGCTTCAATTCTATAGGCTTATTAGGACATACCAGCAACGATGGAATTTTGCTATCGGGTTTAATTTGCTTTAAAATTTGGGTGAATTACATTAAAATTTTATATAAAAAAATTAATTATTGTAAGGTCTATTAACAATTGAATAAAATTGTTAATGAATGAAATTGTCAATGAACTTTGTAGTAATTAATTTCCCTATATAAAACCTGATTGTAATTCTCTCTTAAAATATTTCTGCATGTATGATAACTCAAGATGATGATTGAAATTAGAGTCATGGATAATAAGGACAAAACATAAAATGTGAAAAGAAAATTGTCTTTTGAAAAGTCCAAAATATATGAATTGAGTTAGCATGACTCATATTTAAGGGCCTGAATTATAAACAATCCAAAAATTTTAATGGCTAAAATATTAATTTTTTTTTAAAAAAGTTATTATGAGCATTGCCACCTGCGTCAGTGGCAGCTCTTGAGAAATCTGATGTTTTAGTTAGTTATATGCATAATGTAACGTAGTTTAATTTGTGGGTTTCTGGTTTGGTTTTTCATATGTTGCTCGTGCTTCTAAATTAAATTGCAAAATTGAATGACCCCAAAAGCCAATATGCTTCAAGCTGATACAAATCTGTGACATTTGTGACAGATCAAATGATTGTCTTTATTCACTTTTAAATGTTGAAGAGACAACAACCATAATAATGGAATCCCACTTGCTAGTTCTCTACAAGGATCACTTGTAATTTAATTGTTTAGTACAAATATATTATGTCCACCAACACAAAAAAAAAAAAGAAAAAAAAATCTAATCATGAACTCTGTCATGCCACTACATTAACCTATGATATACGTACATATATGATTATGTATTTGTTTAAAAAATTAACATATAAAAAAATAAATAAAAATACTTGAGTTTCAAACAGGTGTTTCAAAACTAAGAGAGGTATTACTAACAAAACTCAGCTTTACCTACACAAAAACAAAATTAAATTTTAGGTGTAAAATGCATATTTTAAACAATGTAAGTTAGGTCTGATGAAAGAGATTAATTCCTTACAATATGATGAATCAAAATTTCAATCATCACTAGGAATTATATCCACTTTTATGCTTTGCTTGAATAATGAGAAAAAATAAAGAAACAAGAAAATGATATCAGAGAAAATGAGGAGAAGAGAAAGGTAGAGGGATATAATTTTTTCTTTTTATACTTGGCTGAATAAGAGAAAATAAGAAAGAGAAATATATTGTTAATTTCATGTAAACAATAATAGCTTTATTATTTATAAAAAATATTTTTTTTAGTGGTAACTGAAAAACATTCATAAACAAACAACAAAACCAAAACAGGTCCAACAGCAGAATTATATATATTTTTTAAATATACTGAGATTTAATATTATAACATATTTTTTATATAATTTCTATTATTTATTACTAATTGAATAAAAGCATAATTGAAAATTATTTTAGCCAATGCTAGCAAAAAAAATATTTTATCCAATTTTAAATTTTATTTCTTAAATTATTAAATATATAATAATCTAAAAATTTCAAACTACAACCAATCGGTTAAGCCATTTAAGCAAAAATTAATTTGAAAATTTAAAATTAACATTTACGTAATTACATTAAAATTAGCATTGAGAATTAGAACAAGGTGGGATACAAAAACATTTGTGGATAATTTTAGAAATGGAGTTTTGCTCTCTAAAATCTCCCAATTTTTGAGTCCCACATGTCATTTTTCTCATAATTTCCTCCCCTCTCATTTTTCTCTCCTTAGCTAAGTGAGGAAAAATGCTATCTTCCCCCAACTTTTCTTCCATAACAAGCATAATTTAGTACATGATTATGTCTCAAATAGAATTGCATTTAATATAAGGACATTTGTAAGCAGTAAGAAAATTCATATATTTAAAATTCTTTATTTATATAGTAAAAAAATTCAAAATAAAAAAGAACAACTTAAATTTCAAAACGAAAATTAAAAATTTGGAGTGGTAACTTACTTCTATTTTAAAAGAAAGGAGAGAAGAGGGGAGATTATAAAAGCACCAACAATAAAAAACGTGAATAGAAGGAACAAGTTAAAGTAACTGAAGTTTAAAATAATTAAGTTGTAGACATAATTTAAAATTATAAAAAAATTATAATAAAAAATAAAATTTAAATCTATATATTTTTGTTCCTTCAAGTGGACCATTTCCATTTGATCTAAATTCAAATCCCATATAACATGACTTATTTTGAAAAATTTTAAGAAAACATAATAGAAGTTTTAAAACATATTGCGATTGCGATAATAATATATTATTACGTGTAACATACTTTTATATACGCATTTAATACAAATACCTTAACCCTTTTGAAGTGTCCATGCTTCATGTCATAGGGTTAGGGATTCCAAAATAAGTTTATATAGGGACCAATTTTGAACCAAGGCAAAACTACTGGAACTGATAGCTTAATTTCACCCCAGAAGTAAACCATTCTCCTCCCTAATCCCAAATGCGCTGCTTTTTTTTTTTTTTTTGGGCCAGATTCTCCCTGCGGCTTTTCAGATCAAAAACTTCAAAATTCGCTTTTAAGAAATATCGTATATTGCTGTTCAGCATTCAATTCAACTTGGGAAAGCTATGTCGTTTCTAGAGGCACTACCATTCCCCCTGTTTCTTTTGTTCCTTCTGTAGCATTTCATTTTTCGTCACTGCCCATGGTTTCTCACGCCAGCTTTCCCTTGCTAGGTGCTCAAGTCACAACCTTTATATATATTATCAACATCTCTCAATCCCCTTCAAAATACCAGAAACAGTGATCCACTACTTATCTTAACGTCAAGCCAATTATTCTCATCATCCTTCACTTCACATGGAAGCTTCCACTCAACTTGGCTCCGTGCCTCCACCCAACCCTGCTCCGGTTCCGGCTCCGGTCCGCCCATCCGCCTGCAGTGGCACGCTTGGCGGCCACTTGGCTCGGCGGCTGGTTGAGATCGGCGTCAGCGATGTCTTCTCTGTTCCAGGCGACTTCAACTTGACCCTTCTAGACCACCTGATCGCCGATCCTGAGCTCAACTTGATCGGCTGCTGCAACGAACTCAACGCCGGCTACGCAGCAGATGGCTACGCGCGATCCAAGGGCGTCGGCGCGTGTGTGGTCACCTTCACCGTTGGAGGCCTCAGCGTCCTGAACGCCATCGCTGGAGCTTACAGTGAGAACCTGCCGGTGATCTGCATAGTCGGTGGCCCCAATTCCAATGATTATGGCACGAATCGGATCCTGCATCACACAATCGGGTTGCCCGATTTCAGCCAGGAGCTTCGTTGCTTTCAGACAATCACATGCTTTCAGGTGACATAAAGTTGATAACTTGTGTTCGATTCGAGAATTGACTTTGATATGGTGATTCAGATTCTTGTAATTGATATTTCAGGCTATAGTGAATAACTTGGATGATGCACATGAGCTGATTGATACAGCGATTTCTACTGCTATAAAAGAAAGCAAACCTGTTTATATCAGTATAAGCTGTAATCTGCCTGGAATTCCTCATCCAACTTTTGCGAGAGACCCTGTTCCATTTTATATTGCTCCAAAGTATGATTTCGGTTTCATACATGGCTTCCTTGTTTCATTATTTCTCTATCCGAGCAATCCTAGTTCGCTACTTATTTCAAAACTCAGAATATTATAAACATAGCAGTAATGTAGGCTAGTGTTAAGTAAGTAGTTTATGGATAATATGGATTCTTGATCTTATATTCTCTGCTCATATTAAGCCCTTGAATTTTATATAGAGTGAGCAATCAGTTAGGACTAGAAGCAGCAGTGGAAGCAACAGCTACTTTTCTGAACAATGCCGTGAAGCCAGTGATTGTAGGAGGACCAAAGCTTCGTGTAGCGAAGGCGCAAAAGGCGTTCATGGAGTTTGCAGAAGCAAGTGGGTATCCAATAGCAGTAATGCCATCAGGGAAGGGTCTTGTACCTGAGCATCATCCACACTTCATTGGAACATACTGGGGAGCTGTTAGTACTAGTTTTTGTGGTGAGATTGTTGAGTCTGCTGATGCATATGTGTTTGTCGGTCCCATCTTCAATGACTACAGCTCTGTGGGATACTCATTGCTGATAAAGAAGGAGAAAGCAATCATAGTGCAGCCTAATCGAGTAACCATTGGCAATGGTCCTTCTCTTGGATGGGTTTTCATGGCTGATTTCTTATCTGCTTTGTCCAAGAAGCTCAAGAAAAACAGCACTGCCTTGGAGAATTACCGGCGTATTTATGTGCCTCCTGGCGTACCTTTGAAGAAGGGGAATCATGAACCTCTTAGAGTTAATGTTCTATTCAAGCACATTCAGGTAAGATGCTAAAGGCTATAAAAGTGTGCTTTTGTTCTTCTGGATTGTGTATTAAGTACTTTCTTGAAGGGTCAAAACTTCGTTCACTACTTTATTCCAGCACGATCTTCACAATGAGTATAACTAACAATGTTAATGTGGGTGTGCTAGTTTGGTCCCTCAGCTTAAATTTTTTTTTGATCATGTTCCTCTTTTTGACATGTCCTCTGCAATATTGTGCATGTAAGTGAAGAAAAAAACTACTGAAAATTGAAAGCTTTTCTTTCTCAAACTTGTAATGTTGGAACTTGCTTCATCTTATGCCTGTCAATCTATCTTTTTTGCAAAGGCATGCCGTGTATTTACTTGCTAAATACAAATAAACTATATTAGTACAAGAGTATGTTTACTGATTGGGGTTCTACTCTGTTGTATCCTAGGTAGTTTTTTTTTTAGTATGAAATCCTTGTTTCCTAGTTCTGCAACTTATGTACAGTAGTGCTTGCTTCTAGTACAAGGTAGTTGTGACTTTTGTATACGGTCCCCTAGGATTTGAGCCTAGTAGCTAAACATGTGGGGCTTTATTAGATTTATTAAAATTACATTCGACCTAAAATATTCATGACTCTCTCATACTTACACAACGTTTCTTTGATATATCAAGAATGTAAAACCATATCAGAACCTTCATGAGCTATGTAACAGAGCATCCAATGATCGCTTGTGAACGAATCTGTTGCTTGAGAACTAGATTATAAGAATAAAATGTTGCACATACAGCTAAGCTAATTAAATCATCATATAAGCTTACAACTTTATTTGTTTGGTTTCATTACATTTTTTAAATATTGTAATTTTTTGGTGACAGAACCTGCTAAGTGGAGATACAGCTGTCATAGCTGAAACTGGAGACTCCTGGTTCAACTGTCAGAAACTTCGGCTCCCTGAGAACTGTGGGTGAGGCCTACAATTTCTACATGAAGGAATAATGTATTCATTGCTGTTGTGTTTTCTCTACATGATGTCTAAATTAACATTATCGTTGTGAAATCCATCTTTCAGCTATGAATTCCAGATGCAGTATGGGTCTATTGGTTGGTCAGTAGGCGCTACGCTTGGATATGCACAGGCTGCAAAGTCTAAGCGTGTAATCGCTTGCATCGGTGATGGCAGTTTTCAGGTTTGTCACATCAGTTCATGAGTAGAATATTGAAAGAATAATGAACTTGTCTTTGATGAGATGGTGTGAAAACATGAAAAATCACATTGGCATTATCTTCTTTTGATTATTCAGGTAACAGCGCAGGATGTTTCAACGATGATCCGTTGTGGACAAAGAAGCATCATATTCCTGATTAACAATGGGGGTTATACCATTGAAGTTGAGATTCATGATGGTCCATACAATGTGATCAAGAACTGGGACTACACTGCCTTTGTGAATGCCATTCATAATGGAGATGGCAAATGCTGGACAGCTAAGGTTAGCATAAATGAAACAAACTATCTTGTGTCTGCACTTGTGGAGTTTCTATGGTCTTCATGAGCAATGAAAATCATTAACCTGCTTATTTATAGTCTTCATAATTCCTTGACATGACATAGCTTTGCTTATTTCTATCTTCCATCTTCCATTTCCTAAATGTGGGTTGTTAGATTTCTTACATTAATATGTTTAAGGGTAGTCTACTTTACTGAAATAACTTAAGTCATTTGGTTAAACATATCTTAAGTTTTTATGTATTCATGATCTATCTTTTAATTTTTAGATGTGGGACTTTATTTTATCTCTAATATAGGTGAGGACAGAAGAGGACCTGATCGAAGCAATTGCCGCAGTTACGGGACCGCAGAAAGATTCACTGTGTTTCATAGAAGTTTTTGCACATAAAGATGACACAAGCAAAGAGTTGCTAGAATGGGGTTCTCGTGTGGCTGCTGCTAACAGTCGTCCACCAAATCCTCAATAGGAAGTTCAGTTTAGAAGGCTCCTAATTCTGTAACATTGTTTATCTGATGGATTTGTTATGCAGAAATGTAGAGTAATTGGGAAATAAAAGTTAAATTAGCCAAGTGTACTTGGTGTTTCACAGGGACTTTAGTCTTATCAATTTTGAAAACAAACCAATGTAAGTTGTGTGTGTGTTCTCTCATATATTCAAGCTTTTCCTGAAATATATCTTCTCATATTTTCATTTGGAAAATTCTCAATGGGGTAAATTCCCTGAACAAATATCTTACTGGAGCATCAAACGTCTTTCAAAAATACAGGCAAGGGCCATCAATGCCTTTTATAATGTCTTAACTATTTAGTAAATTTTTTACCTTTTTCTTTTGATTACTAACCTACATAAAGTTAGAGACATTTTATTATTTTATAGTGATGGAAAGGCAAAGTTTTGCATTTATTTTTTACTATTTTTTAAAGACAATGAATGAAATGCACAATTTTTCCAGTATTTTCTTTAAAAAAATTGTAGAAAATGCAAGAATTTATTGTTTTATCATAATAAATCAGAATGTCTTTTCATTTTATTTGAAACTTAAAGATTAAAAGGGAAAAAAAAGAGCAAAAAAACTAGTTAATAAGTTTGAAGATTACAAATTGCATTAGAGAGTCGGGGCATTAAAGCCTCAAGCTCCAAGAAAACCTTGAATCAACTCTTCATGAACAGTGATTTTGCCAAAGCTGTTTGGTTTAGGTGTTGGTTTGCCATTGTTCCACCTGGTAAGGATCAGATTACTAAACAAATCATTCTTACAATAGCTTCCATGGAGTAATTCAGGAACAAGATTGAAACGAAAGCATGAGTTACTGCAGGATGAAACGAAAGCACAAGCTGTCGCACTTTTGTTCACGTCACGTCCATTAAGTTGAAAACATCTCAAAAATAATTATAATCAATAAAAGCTGAAGTAACATTTGTAACCCTCCTTTTGCTCGTCTGTTCCGTTTAAAGTCTTGGCAGTATAAATAGGAAGCTCTTGCTGTAGGATCACTTAGTTTTGAATAAAGATCAGAATATCTCTTTTCATTTGATTTCTGTACCAAAGATTGTTAAAAGTTTCTCTCTGAAACTTTCTTATGGTGCTTTCACGATTGACAATGAAATATAAAGAGATCAATTAGGTAGGCAACGCATGGCATATGGGGGAGACTTTTATATAAGATCATGATAATCTCTGATTGCTTCCCATAGCTCGAGCATTACATAAAGCATCTCAGGAAAAATAATTATGACACTATCTTGATTTTGATCTACATCTTCCATAGTAACTGTGCCAAGGCATTATAACTTTTTTTTTTTTTGGGTAAATCAAGGCATTTTAACTTTCATGATCAAGCTATCTGAAAGTATAAAATCAATAAGTATTTGCCTATCCCTTCTGTATTGCTAGAATCCAACCTATTAGACTAAATATAGTATTGGGCCTTAGCCCATTCTGATGCATGTCTATGGTTAGTTGTAACCATTTAACAATATACGGTTAAAGCTGATTAATTCTCAAGGAGGATTATCGTCATTGTAATATTCATTAGAAATGAGAATATCATTTTGAGCTCTCTGATTTCCTCTGTTTTGTAGTTTTTCTGATATGGTATCAAAGCTATCAATCCTTGATGGAACTTCGATCCTATCTCTCCTCTACAATAGTTAACATCGTTGACCGAAACTCCTCTGCTACTAAGAGTTGAGATCTAATCGAAAGATGTCGAGCTCTAACTCATATTGTTCATGATGATGCCTTTGCCCTACCAATTGTTCAATCTTTCACCAATAAAAAGATCACCGTCAATGGAAGCAACAAGCTCTTCTCATGGCTCGGCAACATCATCTTCTCAAATATCTGGGTGGTTCAATTACCTGTCCATTAGTGACTATTTGTGATGAATCTGGTCATCAAATTCCTAATCCATAGTTTGAGTCATATGATGTCCAAGATTTGGCCCTTGCTTCATGGCTCTTAGCCACTGTTAGTGCTTTTATTCTCCTTGAACTAGTAGGTTTTGACACCTCACTATAGATTTGGACTTGTCTTGCACAACTATTTTCCACAAAATCTGATTCCAAGATTCTTTAGTATGGGAATCAGCTTAGTAATATAAAAAAAAGGTGAGCTACCGATGAGAGACTATTTGGCAACTATTAAATCCATTTGTGATCACCTTGCTATGCTCGATCATCGTGTGGATGAGACAGATCACATCTCCTATGTACTTAATGACTTGACAGTAGAATATGAGTCGGTGATTGCTGTCATCAATGGTGCATATGGTCGATTCACACTCTCTAAAGTCCACACCATGCTTATTGATGCTGAGACTCATCAAAAGGCATTTGTTCATCAGTCTTCTATTCATGTTAATGTTGCTACATCTGTTCCTCCTAGTGCTAATGACGATTTTGAAAAAGTGTATCATGTGAATTATGCTCCTCGGGCAACCTCTACTTGTGGTAGTTGTCAGCCTTTTCCACCTTTTCAAAATCATTCTGGTATGTCTCGAGGTCAAGGACGTTCTTTGAATCTTCTTATTTGTCAAATATGCTTTAAAGTGGGTCATACAGTTGATCGATGCTACTATCGGTTTGACTATAATTACTCTACCTCTTCTTCATCTGTTGCATCTAATCCTAGTGCTTATAACTCTGTTTACTCTCCTATTGAGAATTTTATCAATGGCAACTATGACTCTACTTTTGGTTATACTATTGTCCCTTATGTTGACCCTGCTGGTTCTACACCATCACCTACTATTTCTGGCCCTCCACCAATTCCTATTTCTATCCCTCTACCACTTCCATCCATTTCTTCTCCATCTCCACCTTCCCCAGCCTCACAATCTACTCCAACCATCTCTCCAGGTGCTCAAGTCTATCTGGCTACTCCTATAACTACTCATGATGATGGATGGTATTTGGACTTTAGAGCCACTCAGCATATTTCTCGATCACCAAACAAGGTTTATGATGTTAGTAGTTCTTATGGGATTGGATCAATTGAAGTAGGTAATGGTCAATCTCTCCCTATTTCTTTAGTTGGTCATTCCACTTTGCTAGCTACTTTTAAGACACTACATCTTCATGATGTATTATGTGTTCCTACTATGAAAAAAGAATCTTGTGTCTATTGCTTAGTTTACAAGGAAAGATCAAGTTTCAGTTGAATTCTTTCCTAACACATGTGTTGTTAAGGATCTGTAGACCAGAATGACTTTGGCTCATGGTTTTGAATTACGGGGCATGTATCGATTTAATGATCATCAATATCAAGGGGCATATTCTTCCTATTACAATGTTACTTCTAACACTTCTCCACTAGTTCTATGGCATCGTAGACTAGGACACCCCTCTACTGAGATCACTAAGAAGGTTTTACATTCTAATAATGTTGCTTTTCCTACCACCAGTAAGCGGTCTCTCTGTCAAGCTTGTCAAAAGGCTAAGAGTCACAAACTACCTTTTGTATCTTCTTCGACAGTATATGAAAAGCCTTTTGAGTTGATATTAACTGATCTTTGGGGCCTTGCTTCGCTTGTCTCTTCTGGCTATGCTTATTACATTGCATTTATTGATGCTTATAGTTGATTTGTGTGGACTTACCTATTAAAACATAAGCATGAGGCTCTTCAAGCATTTAAAGAGTTTAAAAGTAAGGTTGAAGTCCAATTTCACACTATAATTCAACAAGTTCAGACCGATAGTGGTGGTGAATATTAACCTTTTACTAAGTTTCTAACTGAATATGGTATAGAACACGTTGCACATACCCCTATACATTTGAACAAAATGGCCTTATTGAAAGACAACATAAACAAATAATTGAAATTGGTTTGGCTTTATTGGCTCAATCTTCTCTTCCATTGTATTATTTGCCACATGATTTTACATTAGTAGTTTTCTTATGAATCAGTTGCCTACTAAAGCTCTTCATGGTTCTACTCTATTTGAGAAGCTATATAGTAAATTGCTTGATTATTCACTTCTTAAAATGTTTGGTTGTGTGTGTTATCCTTGGCTTCGACCATATCATGCTCACAAGTTAGATTTTAGATTAACTCCTTGCATTTTTCTTGGATATAGTTCTAAGCATCGAGGTTATAAATGTCTTGATCCCACAACAAGCAGGCTGTATATTTCCAGGCATGTTACATTTAATGAAACTGTTTTGGCATCATCTCAGCACAATGTCCATACTCAGCACTCTAAAGCTTCACCTATTGATATATTCTCTTCATTTCAACCTACTACTATTTCTGTTTCTTATACTGCACAACACCCTTCATTACCATCACCATCACCATTAGTATCTTCATCATCTTCATCTCTTCCCTTACCTTCCATTTCTACTCTTCCTCCAGCTACTACTACTTCTTCTGAACTTGGTTCTATAACTCCACCTCTCATTCCTCAACTTCCTACCAACACACATCCTATGACTATAAGAGCCAAAGCTGGCATCTATAAGCCAAAAGGTTTTCTAACTGCTACCCCCTCATATTTCTGTCCTACCACTATTGATGAAGCTTTAGCTGATCATGATTGGCGTGTTGCTACTGAAGAAGAGTACAATGCCTTAGTAAGGTTTAATACTTGGGAGCTTGTCCCTCTCCCTCCTAACTAGAAAGCAATTGCTTGTAAATGGTTGTTCATGTTAAAAACTAATGCTGGTGCTGATTATAATGATACATTTAGTCCTGTAGTAAAGCCATCTACTATTTGTATCCTTATCACTGTTGCTATTTCTAAGGGTTGGAAACTTCAGCAGATTGATTTCAATAATACCTTTCTCAATGGTGATCTTGCAGAGGAGATTTTTATGCAGCAACCCCTTGGTTTTGAAAAAAATGATGGGTCTAGATCTCTCTTAGTTTTTCAATTGAAGAAGGCTACCTATAGCCTTAAACAAGCTCTCAGAGCTTGGTTTCAAAAACTGTCTTCCACAGTTTGTAGTCTTGATTTTACATAATCCAAGTCTGATGTGTGTTTGTTTATTAAAGTTACAGCCAATTCTACTCTTTATCTTCTAGTATATGTTGATGATCTGATTCTTACAGGAAGTAATGATATTGAGATGCAACAAATCATTTCTTAAATGAGTAATTTGTTTTCACTTAAGGTGCTTAGAGATCTATCCTATTTTTTATGAATAGAGTTTCATCGTATTGGTGTTGGAATGCATCTTTCTCAAAAAAAATATGTGACAGATCTTCTCAGCAAAACAAATATGCTCTTGTCCAATACTAAGCCTACACCTATGGCTTCCTCTACTTGCCTCACTATCACTAATAGTTCCCTTCTGTTCAATCCTACCATTTATCGAAAGATTCTTGGTGCATTACAATATATTTATCTCACTAAGCTTGACATTGCTTTTACAGTAAATAAACTTGCTCAATATATGCATCAACCCTACTCAATTCATTAGGAAGGTGTCAAGAGGGTCTTACGTTACCTTAATAGTACCACTTCTTGTGGTATTCTTATACAACCTACCTCTTATTTCACTATTCATGCATATGCAGATACTGATTGGGGATCTTCTAAAGAGGATAGGCGGTTTACAAGTGGTTACTGTACCTAACTGGGTTCTAATCCTGTCATGTGGACTTCACACAAGCAATCTGTTGTGTCAAGATCCACTACTGAAGTAGAATACCATAGTGTGGCAGATTCAGTCATTGAAGTTTGTTGGATGTTGACTATTTTAAAAGAAATGCAACTTTCTACTATTAGGGTATCTTAAATATAGTGTGACAATACTAGTACTATGGCTTTATCCTTTAATCCAGTTCTACACTATAAATCCAAACACTTTGAGCTTGATTTGTGCTTTGTGCGAGAGAAAGTTGTTGATGGTATCTTGCGTGTGGGTTATGTTCCTACCTCGGATCAGGTGGCAGATGTGCTTACAAAAGCTCTCCCTCAATATGCTTTTACAGATCTCCGTACTAGGCTACGTGTGGTTCCCATTGAGTCTTTGTATGAACAAAATGGTTACTGTCATCTAGTCTTGGCCAATTTTGATTAATGGTCTCAATTTTTTTTCCTCTCGCAGGGGAAGTATTAGACTAAATATAGTATTGGGCCTTAGCCCATTCTGATGTATGTCTATGATTAGTTATACCCATTTAACAATATACGGTTAAGGCTAATTAATTCTCTCTTAATATAAAAAGGAGGATTATTGTCACTGTAATATGCATTAGAAATGAGAATATCATTCTGAGCTCTTCGATTTCCTCTATTCTGTAGTTTCTTTGATATGACCACTGGACCGGTGGGTCTCAAATGAGGACATTTTTGGTAAAAGGAAACTTTTTTAATTACAATTAAGACCATATATAGTCTTTGATTGCAATATCTATTATTTGAGGTCCTAAAATATGATTCACATCCTTATGCAGTGGTTATTTATAATTTTCCTTTCTTTTATGTGTGTGTGTATATATATAATATGATGCTATTTTTCAAGAAAAAGGAATGATTTAAAAATTGGATTGGATCATCAACTAGTCAGGCTAATAGCTTGATCAAGCTGAAAAAACTATTTGACAAGTTTGGTCGAATTAGATCACTTTGGATCGAGAACCGGATCCAGTTCTTAAATATCAGATGGCTCAAAAAATGACATTTTTCTAACCAATTTTTTGTTTTTTAAAAATGATCCATTTTTAATTATTTGATATTTATTATATCATGTGGTTTATTAAGTCATGATAAATTTAAAATATTTAATTTTATTTTTAAGTTAAATAATAGTTTCATATTTATTTTTTATATTTAAATTATTATATACCTATATAAATTGGTTTAATCATTGGCTAGCTTTTTTAATTTAACATTCGGTTGTAGGGCTGTGCAAAAGTCTTTCAGTCCTATCTGGTCTAGTCCAACTCGAGATGGTTTCAATCTTATTTGGTTCATATAGACACTGGTCCTTTAGGACCAGAAAGACTGAAAAGACCGGACTATTTCTTTGGGTTGGACTGGATAAGAGACTAGGCATTCGGACCACTTGGTCCAGTTCAGTCCTATTAATTTTTTTATTATAATTATAATTAATTTATTTTTGACAAATGTTTGAAGTGTAATTGATGCTAAGGAGATGATTGTATGAAGATTTGTTGAGTTTGTTTCTAAATTGTTGTTGTAATGTAGTGTTGTTGAATTTTATTGAATGTTGTTTTTGTTAAAGTTATAAATTTAAATCATTTGGACTATAACAGAAATATTTTTTTCTTATTGTTGGAAATTGTTATGGATTTATTATTACTATAAGTGTTTTTATTATTTTAATTGAATTTATTATGTTGAAATAGATTATTTCCTCTTATAGAATAAAAAGGAAAAAAAAAGCTAAGTGAGTACTAGATTAATAGGACCAGTCTCTCAGTCCTATGGATCAAATTCGATTTTGTTAATCTTTGAATTATTACTGAATAAGACCGGATTACAGGTTACCTAATTCAATTTTTTTTTATAAAAAAGATCAGACTTTAAATTAAAGTAAAATCTAAAACTATCCTGTCTTTTACGCAGCCCTATTCCATTGGATTCTAGAAAAAGCCATGCACTGACAAGCTACATTCCTCCAGTGACTTCTTTCTCACACCGTAATTAATGCATAACTTATAAGAGAATTATTTTTCAGTTGAAAAGTAATTCGCACTTTCCGTAAATAAATAAAGTGAGTTTCATCCATTGGACAAAATAAATGAGCTTGTTTACGTACTCATCTTCTATCCTTATCACATTAATGAGCACTATATTGCTTAACAATGTAATGAGATCTAGATTATATAGATTTAAATTTAAATAATTTAAATTTAAAATATTATTTTATATTATTAAAATAAAAAATATAAAAATTATTAAAACTTCTAATGATTTTTTTTAATCATCAATCTAATTTAAATTTAATTTAAAAGATTCAATTTAATATTTAAATTTTTTAATTTTCATATATTAATTATTTAAATATATTTTATACTGATCAAATACAATAATAAATTTTTTATAATTTTAAATTTTAATAAATATAAAATAATATTTAAATTTAAATTTAAATATTCAAATTTTATCACATTGATGAGCACGACTCGTCAATGTGAATTGTTAAGAATACTAAAGATGGCACTTTTTTTAATAGGAAATGAAAACAATTAAAGAAAGAAAGAGATAAGCTTTCTTTCATTTCTCTAAAAAGTCGTGAAATGATTTTTGTTCAATGAAAAAAATGCATAAATCTTTTATTACAAGCAGAAGCAGGCCTCATCAGTGGTTCAGAAAATACAATGATAGTTCTCCATAATTTTATTGAGTTTGATTTTTAAATTTTATAATTTTTTTAGTGTTTTTAATTCTTAAAATTTTAACAAAGTTGGGTGACATTTGTTATTCAGATATCTATAATTTGAGTGTTTTCAATGATTTTAGTCCTATAGAAATTGAAAACATTGAAAAATATTATAAAAATTAAAAGAAAATTTAATAAACTATAAAAATTAATGATTATGCTTTTTTTATTCTCACTATTTTTTAATATTTTTTTATCAACTTAAAAAGACCCACTGATGATTAATGGACATTAAGTATTTTTAATATTAGGGTGATGATAGAGATAATTTTTAAAGTTGAGAGACATAATTGACTCATAGTTGAGTTTAGGTATATTTGTAACATTTTGTATATAGTTTAAAAATAAAAATGACCCTTAATCCTTTTCATTTTCATTTCGAATCTCAATTCATCATTCACTTCTTCATTTAAATTTTTTTAAACCACCTAAACAAAGAATTTAAATATATAAATTTTAAATGTAAAATTTGAAATGTATAATTTCAAATTTTAAATATAAATTTAAATCCAAATCTATCAATCTAAATACTATCTAAAAGTTTGTTGTCCTATGATTATGTGGTATGGCAGCAAAAAGTGGGGAGAATGACAAATTTCATGGAGAGAATTATCCGCGTATTATTATCACAATGAATACTATATATATACAGCATTATGGAATCAGTTATGAAGCACCGAATCCGCTAGCATCCCTATAATATTGCAAGACAGTTATTCTTTTCCTATTATACCTGTACATTATAATAAATAGAAATATATATCTATGATGTTGCCTAGAGTTACGGTGATCTCTATCATGCCCCCTCAAGTTGGTGCATGGAGGTTGACAATGCCCAACTTGCCCTTGAAGTGTGCGAATCTTTCCTTGCCCAGCGGTTTTGTAAAGATATCTGCCAATTGTTCTCTTGTCCAAATCTTCAGCGATTGAATCTCCTTGCTGTCATATCTCTCCCGAACAAAGTAACAATCCATTTCAACATGTTTGGTCCGCTCATGGTAAACTGGATTTCGTGTGATATGAAGTGCAGCTTGATTGTCATAGTAGAGCCGTGTTGCCTACCTTTGTTCCACTCCTAATTCTTTCATCAGCTACCGAAGCCAAATCAATTCGCTTACAGTATTTGCCATGGCCCTATATTCTGACTCGGCTGAAGAACACAACTGTTTGTTTCTTGGTCCTCCATGATATGGGGGAACCCCCAAACTTCACTAAATACCCCGTATGAGAACGTCTGTTAATTGGACATCTTTCCCAGTCAGCATCGCAAAAAGCCTCTAACTCGAGATCACCATCACTAAGCAGGAGAATGCCTTGGCCAGGCGTGGTTTTCAAATACCTCAAAACTCATTCAATAGCATCTTGATGAATTTGTTTAGGGTCTGATGAAAATTGACTGAGAATGTTAACAGCATAAACAAGATCCGATCGTGTGACTGTTAAATACATCAGTTTCCCAATCAACTTTCTATATCTGCTTCCATCAACGCTCTTATTTGCATTCTCAGCATCCTCGTCTTCTTCCCTAACTATTAGTCTACAATTCTCTTCCATTGAGAAGTCACAAGGTCGACAACCTTCCATTCCAACTTCTCTTAGTAGATCCAATGCATATTTTCTTTGATTAAGAACAAAGCCATGCGGAGTTCTTGCCACTTCTATCCCAAGAAAATACTTGATATTGCCGAGATCCTTAATTGAAAATTTATGATCCAGGTACTTCTTGACTTGTTCAATCTTTCTGAGGTGTGTTCCAGCTAGGAGGACATCATCTACATATATTAAGGCTACGAGAAACACACCACCTTGATTATATACAAGCATAGAGTGATCAGCACGTGATTGTATAAATCCTACAGCCTTCAAAGCACCAGTAAACTTGGCATACCAATTTCTTGATGCCTACTTCAAACCGTAAAGGGACTTCTGAAGCCTACATACTCTATCATCTCCTTCTTGTGTGAAGCCCTTTGGTACCTTCATATATATTTCTTCGTCTAGCTCGCCATGCAAGAAGGCATTATTTACTTCGAGTTGGTGTACAAACCACTTTTTCTTTGCTGCCACTGCTGATAAGGTTCTTACGGTGACGAGTTTTGCCACAGGTGCGAAGGTCTCATGATAGTCAATTCCTTCTTCTTGAGTAAAACCTCTTGCAACAAGTCTTGCTTTGGCAATACATTCACCATTCGGTTTATACTTGGCCTTGAACACCCATTTTGAGTCAACAATATTTCTATCTTTTAGCGGCTTCTCTAGCGTCCACGTACCATTTTTCGCTAGAGCCTCTATTTCTTTCTTCATGGCGTCACGCCATTCTTTATATTGTACAGCCTCCCTGTAACTCCGAGGTTCCTTAATGCCATCTACAGTAGCAAGAAAAGCTTGGTGTTTATTTGAAAAACTGTCATGACTGACATACTGTGCAATGGGATGAGCTGTGCTTGAGGCACCCGATTTCGAATGCAGCAAGGAGGGTGGTAAGTCTATCTCGCAGTCCTTCAAATGCTCAGGGCTGGTTCGTGTACGCTGGCTTCGTCTGACATGTTCCCCCGGCGCACCTTCTGCCCTTAGAGACCGAGAAGCTTCTAGTTCGGTGGTAAATAAAGAGGAGTCATGAGGAGTAGAGGGTGGAGCCACAATAGCGTTGTCACAATTAAGCTCTAGGTGATCAAGAGCCCCATCATCATCAATTGGGCTAAGTGCTTGGGTAAAGGTACGCTGGTCGGACGAGAGAGACCTCAAGTAGCGAAAAGGAAATTGCTGTTCAAAGAAAATCACATCACGAGAGACACATATTCGTTTAAGCTCAAGATCATACACTTTATAGCCCTTTTGACCAATAGGGTAGCCGATAAAAGCACATTGTCGCCCCCTTACATCAAATTTGTCTATATTAGTGAGGTCACGCATGTAGGCTAAGCATCCAAATGCTCGAAGGTGTCCATAAGTGGCTTGTTTACCTGTCAAGAGTTCATATGGTACTTTGTTGCCTGTTGCCTTTGTGGGTAGTCGGTTGCAAATATGGACAGCAGCTTGAATACACTCACCCCAGAAAGTCTTTGGTAAGTTCGCATGTAGTCGTAAAGTGCGGGCTATCTCAACAATAAATTGGTGCTTGCGTTCAACCACACCATTTTGTTGAGGCGTGTAAGGACACGAAGTTTGAGAAACAATGCCCTTCTCTTCATAAAAGTGGATGAGCTGCGAAGACTTAAATTCCAAGCCATTATCTATTCTAATTTGTTTCACCTGCACACCGTATTGCTTCTCCACCATATTTATGAAATTAATTAGAAGTTGGCTCACTTCAGATTTATGTTTCATCAAGTATACCCAAGTAACTCGGCTAAAATCATCAATAATGGTAAGAAAATATTGAGCTCCAGTCAATGAAGGAAACTTATAAGGACCCTAAACATCACAGTGAATTAAATCAAAACAAGAAATACTTTTAATAGAACTGTCAACAAAAGGTAGCCTAGCAAGTTTGGCCTTATTACAAGAATCACAAGGGTGAGTCTCTTTATTTGTAGTTGAAAATAAATTGAGTCGCTTCATCTTTTCAGTTGAGGCATGACCCAGCCTCCAATGCCACAGCTCCTCATCCTTAGAACTCTTATTCACCATTAATGCTGCTCGTTCTCCTTTCTGTGATTCTAGAATGTAGAGACCATTATGGTATCTCCCCACTCCAATCAAATTGTTCGTACGATGGTCCAGAATCAAGCAAAGATCCTTAATGAAAAGCAAGGCATAATCATCATCATGAGTTAATCGGCCAACAGACAAAAGATTGCATTTAAAGTCTGTAATTTTCAAGATACCCTTGAGCAACAACCCATCTTTGAGCCGTAAGTTCCCAGAAGATTTAACTGGAATCCCTTCCCCATTTAGGATTTGAACTGGTGCATGCCAACCACCCTTCTCACCCATTAAAGGTGTGTCTTCACACAATATATGCTCATTCACTCCAGAATCTATGACCCAAGACTTTGTAAGATTAGTTGGAAACATACCTGCCATATTGGCTACAGATTGACGCTGATTGTTGTTATTGCCTTATGAGATTTGACTATCACTCAAGCCTTCACTAATGGCTTTGAGTAAGCCATCATACTGTGCTAAACTCAAACCAGATATAGGACTCTCATCAGAATTCACGAACGCTGCTCTCGGTCCACCTCGCTTTTCATTCCATTTCTTTTCTCTGTTAGACCGTTTCCAGTTTGGTGGATATCCATGAATCTCAAAACACCTTTCTTCAGTATGGCCTCGCTTGTGGCAATGACCACACTAAATCCGCTCCTTCTGCAGTTCTCTAGAATCTCGATCATCCTTCTCTGATTTCACTCTAACCTGGAATGCCATTGTCTCAGTTTCGTTTCTCTGGGTGGCTGAAACTTGCCTTTGTTTTTCATCCTCTACCACTAAGTGGTAGGCTGCACTTAGGTTCATGAGTGGTTTTCTGCTCAGTATATGCGTCTTCACAGTTGCAAACTCTTCATCGAGGCCCATGAGAAAGTCATATACTTGTTCATTGTCTCGTATGACTTCCACATCTCTAGCTACACCACATGTACAGCCATTACAGGTGCACCTTGGTGTGGGTGCAATGGTCCGTATTTCATCCCACAGGGCCTTAAGTTTTGTATAATAAACTGTAATTGATTGTCTCTGCTGTCTCAAATTTGCAATATTGCGTCTCAATTCATAAGCTCGCGGCGCACTTCCTTTTCCAAAATGTTCTGCTAGATTAGTCCAGATTTCATGAGCCGTTTTTACATATCTAACACTCGCGCGAAGCTCTTTGGACATACTACTCTTAAGCCATCCTTTCACCATAGCATCGCATCGAATCCAGTAAGACAGTACATTAGACTCGAGTTCTGGTTGCTTGATCAAACCATCTATGAACCCCATTTTGTTCTTGGCCACCAACGCATTTGTTATGTCGGTTTGCCATTCCATGTAGTTATTCTCATTCAGCAATTCACTGACAAAAACTTGCCCCGGATTATCTGAAGCATGAAGAAAAAATGGCGAGTTTGCATCTGGAGCCTTATTTTGAGCCTCCGCTGCTATTGTCTCACTATTCGCTCTTGATTCTGCTTGCAGAATTATTTTCACGGTTCAAGATCTTGACCGTGCTCTGATACCATGACAAATTTCATGGAGAGAATTATCCGCATATTATTATCACAATGAATACTATATATATACAGCATTATGGAATCAATTATGAAGCACCGAATCCACTAGCATCCCTATAATATTGCGAGACAGTTATTCTTTTCCTATTATACCTGTACATTATAATAAATAGAAATAGAAATATATATATATATATATATATAATGTTGCCTAGAGTTACGATGATCTCTATTAGAGAAAACTACACTATTGTATATTGTGTCATATATTTTGTGGCTGTTTAGGACTTGCTTTTCTACATTTCTTTATTCCTCCACTTCCTATCTTATTCATTGGACCAAATTTTGAATGATTAAAATTTAATGCACACGCATGAACACGCGAACATGAGAGGGAGAGCCTAGACACAGACAGAGTGGCTTTTGTACTCGATTTTCCATGTAGGGACAAATAGGTAGTTGTCCAAATCAAAACACTAATCTATGTCACGATAGAGAAACATGAAGCCCAACTCACTTAGATACAAAAGACCCAATTTGTAATTTCCATTCAAGAAACTATGTGAGATTGAGACTTTTTTGGTTCAAGCGGGGGGCAAGTAGAGGCAATAATTTAAGTTAAACTCGACCAATTAACCTAAAAGATTTTAAAGTTAGGCTTCGAAGCTTAGAAATTCCTTCTTATTCTAGGCTCATTTGAGCTACCCAAAAAATTGTGAAGAATTTAGGCCAAGCTTGAACTCGAATGAGTTTAGCTTGAATATTCAATTTTTTTTATTATTAATAAAATAATATAAAAATAACAAGACCCAATTTGATACGAAGACCCAACTTGTAATTTCCGTTCAAGAAACTATGTGAGATTGAAACTCTTTTGGTTCAAAAGAGGGATAGATAGAGGCAATAATTTGAGTTAAGCCCAACCAACCAATCCAAAAAATTTTAAAATCAGGCTTAGAAGCTTAGAAATTCTTTTTTATTTTAGGCTTATTCAAGCTACCTAAATAAACTCAAAGAATTTGGGCCAAGCCCAAACTCGAACAGGTTTAGCTTGAATACCCAAATTTTTTTATTAATAAAATAATATAAAAATAAGATAACAATTGAAAATATTAATTTTTAAAATAAAAATTAAAATTAGATAAAAATAAAATAATATTTAACAATTTGGGTATTTGGCTAATCTAAAAAAGCCCAAAAACCCCAAAGGCTAGGGCCGGATTTAGCTCTATAAGCTTTTTTATATATTAGGGTATTTTAAGTCTAATTCAAATTGAGTTTGGTCTGAATAACCTTGGTCCACCCAAAATTACTAGCTCTAGAAATAGGGAGAGGAAAGGAGGAAAGAGAGTTAACCACCCCTTGTTTGGTTTGATTGAAGGTGAGGGGGTTAATAATAAGTTGATGATTTCATCCTTATTAGAGTTGTTTTGAGTTTTTTATTTATTAATAAAAAATAATTATATTATAATTCTGTTAATTTTATAATTTTAAAATGTAAATACTTTCACCTTATATCAATAATTTTTTTTAAAGAATTAATATATTAATATTATAATTTATCAATGTATACTTAAAAGCTAATGACAAGTTGTCTTAACAGCAACACCACCTCCTTGTGAACTTGAGGTCTAAAGTTCAAATACCTTGCTTTGACACTTGGGTCTTCGAGTTGTGTGTGTTTAGTTGATCCTTTGCAAAAAAAAAAAAAAAAAAAATGCATATTTAAAACCTACTCAAAGTCTTTAGATGACACGCCACGCTTCCTTGGAAGAAGGAAGTTGTATAGGTTGCCCCATGTGATAAAAGGATGGACGTGTGTGTGGTGATGATTGTGTGTTACTTTTCCCTTTTGGAAAAGGGTCACTTTTTTTTTTTTTTTTTGAGGGAGTGAGTAGATATATAGGTGTCTGTGGGTGTTTACATTTGATCCATTTTTTTTTAAAATCAATGTATATTTAATGAAAATATATTGAAATTTAGCTGAAAAAATGTTGAACCAATATATTAATATTATAATACCCAACTACACTAACATATTAATCTATTAAAATTTATCCGAAAAAATATTGAACCAAAATATCTATTTTTTAAAAAAACCAATGTATATTTAATAGTTCCAAATATATTTTTATTATAAATTTTTGGGGAAGTTGTTTTTTTTATTCCTATAAAACTATTGAAATTTTATACATAAATAAATTATTTATTCAATTTTATTGGATAATAAAAATTATTTCTATCATAAGAGAGAAGTAAAAAGGCATAAATATTTAATATCATAAATAGTTTAGAATTTTCAAAATAATATAAATGCAATTTAGTCAAGTATATCTCTTTTAAAAAAATCCAATTTAAAAGGGAGGGATAGGAATTCCCTATCAATTTTCAAACCAAGCAAGAGCTCCCCTCCATTTTTCTATCAATCAAACAAGTGGGGGGGGGGGGGAGTGATTTCCTTCCCTCCACAATACCCCAACCAAATACATTCTTAAATCTCCAATTCCCAACTATACATAACAGCCCATCGGCAAAATCAAATAAGCAACAAAGTGAAGTATTTCAATCATAATAAAAGTAAAATCTAAATGAGAAACTAAACTTGGAGAGACTCAAAACTAAGGATTAACTAGCTCTTTTCTCTTTGATTTCAAAGGTGGAGTTAGATTGTTGGAGTTTGGACTGTGTGAGAGCTCCACAGAAAGAGACAGAGAGTTGGTCATCATTGTGGTGAGAACCTAATTAATGAAGACAAAAAAGAAGAAGAAAATAACAGAAGATAGAGAGCATGGGAGTTGTTTTTTTTATATCTTTTTTGTTCTATTATAAATATTGGATTATGGATATCCATAACTTCTAATTCTTAGAATTTTTGTATCTTAATGTCTTACAGCACATAACATCCCTAATGTTTATGTCCTATAACATGCTGAATGAATGGTTTGGGAAGAGTTTCTTATGTTAAATATCTTATAATTTACAAATACTACATAATGAACCATTATATTAATATTTATTTCTTCTTTTTTTTCGTTGTTAAAACTTCTTTTCTTTTTGTGAAACAAACTCCTTTATTTATTTGTAACCCTAAGATTCAATTTTAATGGTTGGAAACTTATAAAAAGAAGCCATGCCCAAAACACTTGGAAAGTGAATAAGAAATACACCTCCCCTGTTCTCTCTCTCTTACTTCTTGTTGTCTTGCCTCTGGCTTATTCTTGAGCAAAGTAGAGTGAATAAAAATAAAATAAAATAAAGGCTAGAGTAGTAGAGACAATATTTAGATATGAAATTAACAACAATTGATGTTAATATTTTTCATTTAACAATTTAAATGCAAAATAAACAAAAAAATATAGGTTTGGAAAATTAAACAAGCATTCTTATGAAAAAGATGAACTTGAACTAGTACCACACAGATATGAAAAACCATAGATTTGAAATAAAAAAAAATACAAGTCATGGTTGCAAATTTGGAATACTAGATCAACTTCCATTTAACAATATAACCAGGGACACCGGTGGGATGGAGTTGAAGGAGAGTGATGTCGGCAACATTAGGTATTGTATAGACTAGACGATGTCTCATGACATCGTGTGTGCACATAGAATGAAGGAGAAGGGATGTACATCGCGTTAGAGACCATGGCTAGAGTTGATCATGTGAATGTTGAAGATGAAGACTCAGAGTCTAAAGTGAGAGAGATGCTTGAGTAACAAAGAGGGTTAAGTGTGGAGTGGAGGAGTGAGGTTGCATGAGAGAGGGGAGGAGAGGATTGACTGTCGTGAAGGTAATGTGTGAGAGATGAATTTGAATGTAGGAAATGACAATGAGAGAGGAAAAGAGTATGTGCGCCATTGGATTAAAAAAAAATCAATGATTCAAAAATAATGACATAACCAATAAATGTGTTATTTTGTTTTAAAATTTTTTGAAGTAAAAAAACTAAATAGTGATTATCTTAAATACCCCTTTACAGCTAATGACAGTATGATATTTATTTCAAAGAACTGCTATATACTTTTTTTTCTTTTTGAATTTTTTCCTTGAGAGACAAAATAACCACTGTATAATCATTTTTCTTGAATCTCATCTCAATTATATAGCGGGTTTTTTCAATAACTGCGACATAAAAGATGCTATATATAGCCTTTTTGTAGTAGTGAATTAACAACTTATTCAGAAATGAACAAGCCACTATCAGCATAGAATGTCTATTTTTTTTTTTTTTAAGGTTAGTTAGGCGTTTTAAGCTTGGCACATTGAAACTCCATTTTTATCATGTTTTCATGGGTTTTCAGTTTTGCCCCATTTTTTTATATCAAATCACCTGGATTAAATTTGAGATTCACGCATCGAAGGATATTAGGATTTAGGAATGTTTTGGTTGTTTCAGAATGGCCTAAAATGAGTTTTTTGAAGCTTCCGTTAACCAATGTTGACATTGTTTAAGATGAGAGGTGCATGTGGAGAAGAATGTTAAATAAGGGCAATTTCGTCCTTCCTTCTTCATACTATTTTTTGGTCAAAGAACATTGGTTCTTGAAATATTTTAGGTCCTTGTGTATAACACTGAATTTCTTGAGCAATTATTGTCAAAATAATTTCCTGAACAATGTGAAATTTTTCTGATTATTTTACTTATCCAAAGCTAGCTAATAATTGAGATTTGCTCAAATTGAGCTTAGCTCAAATAAGCCCAGCTTATTTAAATTACCGACTTTACAAACCTGTTAGGATGAGGAGGATATTTTAGCTTCAATTGTAGAGGCTTCTTATTTGTCGTTTAGGTATTTCTCTTTTATTAAGAGGGGTAATTAAATCTTTTTCATAAAAACTTATTTTCATATATAAGTATCGAAGGAGTGCAGTGCAATATCAAAATCTTAATGTCTTCAGTTGATATAAAATTTCGCCAAGAATTCTCAGTTGATATTTTGCCTAATTTAATTTCAATTTGAAAGAGGGGTAGGAGAGTGAGTGAAGTATGCCTTGCGTTGGATATTATAAAAATATAAAGGGTATTTCTTTTACCAGAAAAAAGTCATTTTATTTTATTAATGTTGAAAAAAGTAGCACAAACACCCAATAGTGGAAGCCAAAAAAAAAAAAAACCACACAAAAGAGCCTAGCAATACGAGTCAACACACAAACTCACACACACACGCAAAACAAAACACAAAAAAAAGAAAAAAAAGAAGCAGAACAATAGTATCAACCAATGCATTCTTTCTTCTTACCAGCCTTACTATTAATAGAGTCCAAATTATTATTGTATCAATCATCAAATCAGCAAGCGAAAGATCAAACAAAGAAGAGTCCAAATTATTATTGTATCAATCATCAAATCAGCAAGCGAAAGATCAAACAAAGAAGATGTAGCTTTTTTAAGCCATTCCAAAAGAACCATCATTCTATAACTCATCATTGCCAACTAATT